AGAGAGAGAGAGAGAGAGTTTCAGAAACAAAAGGCCAGGCACTGTGGCTCATGCCTATAATCCTAGCACTCTGGGAGGCTGAGGTGGGTGGATTGCTTGAGCTTAGGAGTTCGAGACCAGCCTGAGCCAGAGCCAATACTAGTCTCTAAAAATAGCTAGGTGTTATGGCAAATGCCTATCATCTCAGATACTCTGAGACAAGGGAGAATCACTTGAGCTCAAGAGTTTGAGATTGCTGTGAGCTCTGATGCTATGGTACTCTACTGAGGGTAACAAAACAAAAACCAAAAAATCCCACATACCATATTATCCTTTGTGGAATGGCTTTGTATGGGGGAAAACTGACATCATTCAGCCAAACTAGACATTCCAAGAGTCTCTTCAACCTAATATTTGTATGTCTTTTCTCTGGACTGCTTTTGACTTTTCTATTAAAAGGGGGTTTATTTTTTTTTCATGAAAACTAATTTTTTCCTTCCCTTAGCAGGCGTCATTGGGAGGGCAGTCACTCTGTTGCTATAATAGGCAGTTGTCTTTGTTCTTAGTGGACCCATCCTGTCATCTGAACTGTATCTCTGTTTCCCTTTAGCACTCCATATTAGAGGAAGCAATAATCAGTCTTTAGGAGTCTCAGAAAAACACAGACTTCTGGATACATGTTCCACTCTATCCTTTGTTTCCTAAGGCAAATAGTGGAATGTTTTTATTTTTAACTCTGATTCCTCTACCATGTAATAAATGTTTTCTTATTTAACTTGTCTTTTCTTGCGTTTACACCCAGTGGGAGTACTGTAAGCTCAACTGGTTTTTCATTAGTGTAGAAAGTAGGGCCTCAGATTTGTGTTTAAGCCATCATGATGATTTACTCAAGTTGGTATTATTTGGCATGTTTTTGTTATAAAGTACATTCACCCAAATGTATTAATACTAATTAGAATTTAATAAATTTTTGATATCTTTCAGGTATATTTTCTCATTACACCCAAGGTCTCCAGAAGAAGCAGTACATAGAATCTCCATCCCCAAAAGTGACACTAGGAGTATTTGGGAATTTGGGCCCTGAAAATAAACATTTAGAGAAAAACTGGGAACTCCAAAACAAGCTTGAAGAATGGAATGCATGTTGC